GGGGGGGTAGAGAGGGGCGGAGAGGGGAAGAGAGGGGGGGAGGAGGAGGTGGAGAGGGGTGAAGAGTCGATGGTGGACACGCGCACGTGGATATATAAGGCGAAGGAAGCTTTGAATTCAGCCGATGTTTCTCACGACCCGTATGCGCGAAGGAACTTTCGCGTCTATTTGTCTTGGTTCGATGTCATCATTTTTCATTCTTCGCGATTCTTATGTCCCATAATTGCGAATTTATTATATTGTTTGTGAAATTTTATGTTATTCGTACGTTTTACATTTTGCAATTTCTTAATTGCAATATCGGTATTCCTACCGCGTGTATTACATATATTTGATATTATCATTGTATTATCCTGATTTTTTGTTTTGTTGGTTTGTTTATTTGATGGCTTGTTTGTTTGTTTGTTTGTTTGTTTGTTTGTTTGTTTGTTTGTTTGTTTGTTTGTTTGTTTGTTTATTTGTTTGTTTGTGTATTTGTTTGTTTGTTTCTTTTTTTTAACATAGCAACGCCTTGATGAATATTAAAAGGGAACATTTTTAGACTTGGCTAAAATGTCACTAAGTGAATGTAAATTTGAAAATTTTTGCCAAATACTTGCCTTATTATCGTACATTTCTACCTGCATAATAATTATTCTGGAAAAATAAGAATTTTTGGTTAAATGAAAAATAAAAATAAAATACGTAACCTTAATTTGCATACTAACAAAGAATCGTTCGGATAATATTAGCTTGTGTATAAAATGTGTGTGCCCGAGCCTGGATAATATGCCTTTCGCTTATTTTAATTTTAATCAAGCGATTAAATGGCGATAATAGAAAACGAAGCGTTATAATGATAAATCTTTGGGCTCTCGATATACATGCAGCACAGATAAATTATCGATGAGATCTATTTGTTCGTTCGAGATATTTTTTAGCTCACTGAACAATACAGTTGCAATCAACTATAATCACGTAATAAGGTAGTATAATGCTATGTACATATAAATATATGTTCATAGTTTGTAATACCTTGGATATTAATTAATTGGTTGACATTATCATAAAGCAACCTTGACATGTAATGACAGCGCCTCGCTTAAAATTCCACATTCGCGTTTGCTTGTAAAAAGAAAATAAAATTACATTTGCACTTTGTACATTAAAGCTTCTTTCTCGAATGGTTGAAAAATATTTGGCACGTATTAGTGTAATGTCGATTATACTTAATGCGATCGTATTACAATTCTCTCCTCCCCCCCCCCCCCCTTCCCCCCCCCCCCCCCCCCCCCCCCCCCCAATCGTATTTTCCAGGTCAGAGGTATGAGCTTGAAAACTCGCGGGAATTTTTCTTCCGGCCTGACTTTAGTAATAATGGGCTTTGTTGCCGAAGAGAAGAAGGGAAATTAACAATCTATGCCCAATAATCGATTTAAATGTAATTTAGATAAATGAGATGCCACGCTAGTGGGAAATAAATTTAAATTCGCGATACCCCCGACTGCTGCAATTATAGCCAGTACGTTCTCATACAACTAAATAGTAAGTCTAAAATACGACAAAAATCTCGTAAAAACGTCGGCCAAATAATGATTTGTGATGTTAGCAGTGTCGACACATTTATAGGAGATAAAAGTTAGTGTAGGAGAGCAGATACCGACTATCACGACCAAATATATTTTCAAAATTCACAGCGATTTTAATCCAGACGATTCTCACGAGGACTACGCCCCAACTGCGTTTATGGCTTTCCGAATGCCATTTCATCCATGTATGAATAATGCAGCTACGAGACTTTCTTCCATCAACAATGCGCAATTACGTAAAGCGTCGCGCATACGTAATCTGGCATAATCCACGAGCGACAGTCGGTCACGTACGTTGAATATCAGCGATTCGCGAGATAATTATAAAGAAGCAACAACTGGAAAGGCGCACTCCGCGAGCGAGAAGCGAGAGAAAAGACAGAGCGAATCCGCTTTATTAGAGAGTGAGCCAACTCGAGATTATTAACTGGTTGCGCTACCTAAGGAAACACGCCCTTCGCGCGACGCCTGCGCAGCGAAATTTTCGCGATAGCGACTCGCGGATTTTCGCTGTTGCCACGCCGGCACGCCTTTCTACCTTGACAATAGCTTCTCGCGACCATTGGTGGGGGTTGCGGGGACGAGGTGGCGAGGTGGCGAGGTGGCGAGGTGACGAGGTGCCGGGTGCCGGGTGGGGGGGGGGGGAGATTCGAATGGTGGGAGGATGGATGAGGAGGATTAGGGGGAGGAGGAGGAGGAGGAGGAGGAGGAGGAGAAGGAGAAGGAGGTATAGCCGTCCGAGGCAGAAACGAGCCTCGTGTTACGGACTTGGAGATGTCAGCGAGTTAAAAGTGTCGATTATAAAATTCGACTCGTACGAGCTCTTCCTTTTTGCTCCTCTCTTTCCTCGAGGCGCCGACGCTACCCGCTAGAATCGCGGCTCCCGTGCGTGTTTTCGAGGTCGAAAATTCTTCGCCTCACCTCGAAATTTCATTGCCTCGACCATGAAAATGCTACCTGCTAATGCGCTTCATTACATTTACATTTTCATTCTCTTATGCATGTGCATGTGTATTCTATTTAATCGCGCTGTCATAATGCACGAGAATGAGGCTGTAAATATATAATAAAATAAGATTATCCTGCGAAAGTATTATTTCGCACCGGTGCTCGAATTAAATAAACGAGGAGACGATTTTATTGAAATAAGTGATAGATATTCAATAAATTAAATATAAGTAAAATGAAAGGAAGTAATATGGTAGAATACTGAAATCAGTGCCCATTCGTTTACGTAATGTGGTCACTATGGGCTCTCTCACACACACTTTCTCTCTCTCTCTCTCTCTCTCTCTCTCTCTCTCTCTCTTATATCACATTAATCCTCAAAATAATCAAAGTATGACTTAATAACTTGAACGGCGTTCCATCATTTTTCAAAACTATATTCTGTATAATCAATGTAAAGAATTGCAAAGACCGGACAATTATGATATCGAATGATTTTCAACTCGATTATCGATTGTTTCAAGCAATCATTCTTATTTATAATCCTATTATGCATAAGCAGACTGTTTAATTGCATATCAATTTTATAAAACCACACACTCAGAGATTTGATAAAGGTATTTCTATAAGCCAAACGATTTACAGCGAATTTTTACAACCAAGACAATATAATGTAGTTATTATTGGAATGTAAATATTTTAATGATATTAATTCAATATATCGCCATAATATTTTTTCCCTGATAACTCTAAACTAATACAATATCGAGCTGCGTTAGATTCTCATAACATTAAGCTTTTCTTCGCTTAATCTGTCATATCTAATTTGTTATCTTATAATCTTATCTCTTAATTATGAAAAATATGATTAGAAAATAAATCAGTTATCAGTTTTATTGCGAAATACTTTAATGCAATTTAATTGATATTGATTGCGAACAGTTTTATCTATTATATATTGAGAATTAGCAATAATTATTAGAACAATAATCTAAATTGTGATTTTTGTATAAAGCATAGAATCAATCGTATTTTTCCCCAGTGTGTTTGCGTGCGCGTGTGCGTGCGCGTGTGCGTGTGTGCAAAGTTAGATTACCTTTTCTCTAATTTATGGTTTACATTTTGCATGTCATGAAATGAAAATATGTAGTTTTCTTACGAATCATTATTTATTTAGAACCTTCTAACGTATTATTGCAGTAAGAATACTTTTCTATAGCAATATAAATATTACAAATAAGTATACTCGATCCCTACGTATCACTTATCTTAAAGTAGTGCAATTTTTTTCTTTTCTTCATTGTGAACTTCATCGACTATTAGTTTATTGTTTAATAGCATACATTATTCATGCCATGGTAAAGTGGATCATCACTGTATTACACCGATATCTTTGTAAATTTATTTCTTGTTTATCGTTTGAATTTATAATTGTTATTGAATTAATAATACAGACTAATAATACAAAAATTTTGTAATATTGCTTATTAAATGTTTTTATTGGAGGAGGAGGAGGAGGAGGAGGAGGAGGAGGAGGAGGAGGGGCAAAGAGGTGGCGAATGACGGTGGCTATTAAACTGACGTGAAAAAAAAAGAGTATAATGGCCGAATATCTATATTGGTGTTGTTTAAAAATTCTTAAACAATACCAATTGGCTTGTAACAACGTAGTACATTTAATGAAATTTAATTGTACCAATAATATTGTTTTTCACTTTCGAAGGCAAATAATTGGAAATGAATCAGCCTAGATTTTCAAGCACGAATAACCATATGCGAACAATGGATATGCTATTATAAAGAAGGAGAGGAGAAGAAAAAGTAACACGCGTTAGTGGAAAAATAAGTTTTTATTATGAAAAATTATATTGGTGTAGAAAAGGAGAAAAATTTT